CATACCAAAGTTTTTAAATAGTAACATACCTCCCATTATGGACCAGTCCTACTCCCGACAAACTGCTTCCAAGTTTCCTCATCTATGCCATAACGCCGACAAGGAGTTAATCCTTTGCTAATGGCTTGGTCATTAAAAATCCATTTTGAAGTCAATGTCGACTTGAATTGCCTCCACATTTTGGCAATAGATGACATGACTTTTCTCCTAACTTGTTCAGAGTTAACAATATCAAAGTGATTCTGCAAAAACAACAAAATAAATTAGGATAACAAAGTTTAGGATCTAACTTAACTTAACATAATTTAACGAGTTAACAAAACTCACCAAAATATCTTGCCAAATTAAATTTTTGCAAGTCTCCTCCACATAATCCCAAGATGGATGCAAAATAGATACCTAATTATGAACTTAAAACGTTAGATATCAATCCATTTACATATGCTGACCATATATGCATAACAAGTTAAAAACTCTAAAAAATTACATACCTTTTCTCTAGCAAGAGTACCCAAGTAGGACCTAAATTGAGTGTGATGTGGCCCTGATATTTTGCCAGTCTTTGGATCCACACTCACAACCAACTTATCTCCTGCCATATGACGAACGGTCAACTTTTTCAACCGTGTGGCTTGTCGAGTCCTCTTTAGAGATGGGGGGGTGGACATGCCGGAGGAGATGCTGGAGGAAATGCTGGAGGAGATGGTGGAGGAGATGCCATTTGCCTGTTAAAAAAAAAATTAAGTTAAGCTTTTTCATGGACACAAGACTCTTAATATTTGAAGAGTATCCTTGTGGCACTTTAATACTGTGAAGACACTGACATAAACTAGTCTTCTCCTTCTTTGACAATGTGTGACAAGCTGGTGGTAAATATGTTCTCTTGCCTTCAGGTCTTGGATGTAATTCTGGACGTATTCCCAATTCACATAGATCTTGACGAGCTTTGACTCCATCCTTTGTTTTTCCTTTAATGTTCAATAGTGTGCCAATGAGACTATCAAATACGTTCTTCTCCACATGCATAAAATCAATGCAATGTCTCACATCTAGATGACTCTAATATGGAAGGTTAAAGAAAATTGATCTCTTTTTCCACAACCTTTTATCAGACGACTGTTTTTTAGTCTTTCCAAAGACAACATTAATGTTTCTAACCCGTTCATAAACTTGTTCACCAGCTTAAAGGTTGTTTGGCAATTTTATCTTCCTGTCGACCATTAAAAGCTTTCTTCAATCTTCGATATGGGTGGTTATGTGGAAGAAATTTTTCGTGCCTATTATACACGATCTTTTTTCCATGCTTCAATTGTAGAAAACTTGTATCTTCCTCACAAATAGGACAAGCATGATGACCCTTGACACTATACCCACTCAAGTTTCCATATGTCGGGAAGTCATTGATAGTACAAAATAACATTGCATGTAACTTGAAGCTCTGTTGTTGATATGCATCAAACACATCCACTCCTTCCTCCCACAATAGCCTTATGTCATCTATTAACGGACTTAGATAAACATCTATGTCATTATCCGGCTGTCTTGGACCTGCAATCATGATGGATAACATCACGTACTTGCGCTTGAAAATCAACCATTGTGGAAGGTTGTAAATCACTAAAAGAACTGGCCATGAGTCGTGATTACTCGGTTAAGTTACCAAAAGGATTCATGCCGTCTGTGGCTAGTCCAAGTCTAACATTTCTTGCATCACCGCCAAAACTTGGAAATAGGCAGTCAATTTTCTTCCACTCGTGGAGAATCGGCCGGATGACGAAGCAATCCATCACGTTTTTGTGCAGCTTGAATGCCATATCATATTCTTGGCATCTTCTCCATTGGCAAACAATCGCTTCAATCTTGGAATAATTGGAAGATACCATATAACTTTTGCAGGAGGTCTCTTTCTATCAATACATTCGCTATTATCATCCTTGTCTTTCAATTTGTAACGCGATACACCACATCTTGGACACTCATGTAGGCTTTCAAACTCTTTTCTCGTATAATACACAATCATTAGGGCAAGCATGTATCTTTTTATACTGTAAACCCATTGGACAAAGTATTTTTTTGGCTTCATACATACGATCAGGCAAGGTGTTATCGCTTGGGAGCATATCTTTCAAAACTTCTAGTAACTCAGATGAAACTTTTATCACTCCAACCAAATTTGGCCTTCAAATTGACCAATCTCAATACAGCTGATAATCGCGTGAATGTTGTACATCCAAGCATACAGAGGTATCTCTGAATCTATCTTCAATTTATCATAGACAGCAGCATGTGCTTGCAGAAAATTCTCTTGACCTACATCACGAATCATGTCTTCTATTCGATCTTCCATTGTCATATCCTCCTCTTCCTCAGCTTGTGTTACTATTGGTGTATCAATCACTTCACCATGCCATGTCCATAGGATATAATTCTTCATTATCCCATCACATAAAAGATGTTCCTGTATTGTCTCTAGTGTGTGTACTCTCCCATTAACGCAGTTAACGCATGGACAATACAATTTTCCATTAACCTTGGTGCCATTGTGTTCGGAAAATCGCAAAAATTCTTCAACTCCATTCTCATACTCTTGTGAAATACGACTTGCATTTACCCAACTTCGATCCATTTTGGAATTGGAATCTACAAATGAGAAACCCATAAAATGATTAATACTAATAATCGTTATCTCTAATGAAATCTATACCAAAGTAGATTAATTTGTAACGAAATTTCAACGTAATTTCGTCTATTTTTTGGTCAAAACCAAATTTGTATAAATTGAAATTATAGAGTTTTCATTGTTACTACCATCACTTATATAACTACATTGTTATATGTAGTTTTCAGAATTCACACTTCATGATTAATTTCTAACAAAAATCCAGCAGAGTTTCCTTTGTTTTTTGGCAACAATTTTAAATGACACAGTGAAACCTGACAATAAAAAGCCTCACGGGCATATTCAAGCAGTTCAAGTATAATTGTACACATCATCAATACATTGAAAAAAACTATAATATGACTAAGAATTGAATCAACGAGTTAACGGCAAATGACTAACAATCTCTACCTATGAAATGTAGTAAGTAAAATTGTATGACTTTGCCCAACAAATATAAGTGCAACAACATCGTACCCGTGGTTTAAGGCAGCGATGAAGGTTCGCACCACGAGAAACAGAGCAGCGCCTGCACTGGGGTGGAGGTGGAGGATGCAATGCGGCGTTAGGGTCGAGGCTGTGGTGAGCGGACAATGCAATGTGGGTGGAGGCTGCGGTGGGGGTGGAGGGTGGGCCACTAGCGTCGCGGTGGGGTGGAAGCTGCAATGGGGTGGAGGTGCTGCGGCGGGGGTGTCATGCGGTGCGCGGTGGCGACGTGAGGGAGGGCGTCCGGAGAGTCCAAATGACGATGGTAGGTGGTGGCCGCGATGCTGGAGAGTAAGGGGAGTGGGCGCGATGCTGGAGAGTAAGGGGAGATACAAAAATGGTAGCCTATTCAAATGGGAAAATGGGGTTTCGACGTCGGTTATACCCACACCCGACGTTGAAACTCGATTTATCTCCAGTCATATGTTTTAATCGATTGAAACGAGATTTAATCGATTAAAATAGTTCTGATCGGTCATAACTGGATTCTGATCGATCATCCTGACCCTTTAAGAGATTTTAATCGATTGAAACGTGTTTTTAATCGATTGAAAAAATTCTGATCGCTCATAATTAAAATCTGATCGATCACATTTGATTCTGATCGGTCATATTTGTATTCTGATCGGTCATAATGAAACGAGATTTATCTCCAGTCATATGTTTTAATCGATTGAAACGAGATTTAATCGATTAAAATAGTTCTGATCGGTCATAACTGGATTCTGATCGATCATCCTGACCCTTTAAGAGATTTTAATCGATTGAAACGTGTTTTTAATCGATTGAAAAAATTCTGATCGCTCATAATTAAAATCTGATCGATCACATTTGATTCTGATCGGTCATATTTGTATTCTGATCGGTCATAATGAGTTCAGAAGGGTTTTCAACGTCGGGTGAGGGCATAACCGACGTCGAAAGCCTACTTTCCACATCGTGCATGCTAAAACGACGTAAAATGTGTCAAAATTCGACTTTCGACGTCGGTTGTTGACCAACCGAAGTTGAAAGCATGTTCAACGTCGGCTAAGATGTAACCGACGTTAAACAGCGACGTTAAAAGTATATTTTCTAGTAGTGTCTCCATATCCACATGTTAATTTCTGTACATGGGAGAAGCTTCTCTCATTTAAGAGAGAAACTTATTTTACCTTTCTTTCTTAATTTCCTACTGTTCTAAACCTATGAGTGTTTACAAAAAGGTTGATCCAAACATGACCTTCATTTGATCTAACTTTGTGCAAATTAAAACTTCACAATGAACCAACCACAAGTCAATGCTCAACACCTTCTCACTAGCTCATTTTTATCACGGTCATTTGACCACTAACATGGTTGCAGGACCGTTAAAAATCCAATAAGCACTACTAAGAAAATAAATGAATTTATCCACAACTCAAAATTAAATTACACATTAAATTAGAAACTCCCTCATCTATTAACTTCTTTAAAAGATTATTTTCTTTGAACTTATGTGCAGTTCAAGGAGAATATGCATTTATTTTTTCTTCTTATTTTTGCTTCCTAGAATTTTCATTTTGTTAAAAATGCTTATGGAGAACTCACCCTAATCGTATAACAACAAGACAAGAAGAATAAGTAAATTCCCATCTAAACATAGTATTCGATAGAGAGACTCTTTGGATGGGCTTCTCAGTAAGTTTTTCACGAGAGAAAAATAAGAAGAAGAAAAAAAGGAAATTAACAAATTTATAAGTTAAAATTAGCCTACGCACAAGTTAAACATTAAAATCTAAAGAAGTTACATAGCATTTGCAAATTAGCTCATGCATAAGCATAAGCTTCAGACCCATAATAATAATTCTAATATAGTAGTCTAAAAACTTTAGACCTAAAGAACTCCATTATTCCATTTCAACGAGTAATTTATCAGCGGCGATGATTTCGTTGGCCTGGCACATGGCTTTGAGAAAACGAGGTTAAACGACGTCGTGTTGTGCTGGACACAGAACTCATCCATCTGCGCAACGAGGTCGAGGAGGTTGGTGGCGGAGGCGTCAAGCATAAGGTTGGCACGAAGGTAGTGGTTGAAGAGGTTGACGTTGGGGCTGTTGGGTTTGCCATTCTTGTTGAGGGCGCGGACCCAGGTCTGGAAGAGGCACTTGACCTCGGTCCACCGGTGCGAGGCCATGCAGTCATCGAAGAGGTTGAAGAGCACATGAGGGTCGAGGGGGTCGGAGGAGGCACGGTTGTATAAACCGACGGGGGAGAGCGAGTTGGAGGAGGGAGAGGGGAGCGCCAATTTTGGTGATAGAGGAGGCTGCCGGAGGCGAGTTTGGGAGGGAGAGGGGTGGGGTCCACCAGTTGAGGCTCTGTGAGAGGAAGGGAGGAGGGTTTCAGGAGGAGGAGGGAGCGCGTGCGAAAGAGGATCTTTGACTCTATCTTTTATTAGTCCCACATTCAATAGTTTATTCAAATTAGTGAGATAAAAATACTATATAAAAAAAATGAGTTTTCTAATTAATACTCACAATTTCGTCTCTTACTAAAATATGTCATTTTTAGAAGGTGCATACGTTTTTGGAGGGGTAACAGAGGTAATAATAGATATTGTTTTTTATTGTTATAATATATAAATTTATTTATTATTGTTTTTTATTATTATAATTTATAAAATTATTTATTATTATATTATATTTTTTTATTATAATAATAAATTTATTTATTATTATATTGTATTTTTTATTATAATTAATAAGATTATTTAGTTTTTTTTTAATGTTTTGAAGTGATGAGTAGCGGTAGTGAGAGTGTTAGTGTTTTGCCTGCTGGTAGTCGATCACGATCACCGTCGCCTGATAGTGAGATCTCACGAAGTTATTTAGAAATGCATAGGGAGTTAATGATCAATGTTTTGCAAAATTAAGAAAAGCTCTAGAAGTTGAACATCTTCCTGAAGATGCTCTCAATTTTGCAATGGAGAAATTTGATACTATTAGCAAGGCTAACATGTATCTCGCTTGACAACAAGTGAGTTAAATACTAAATTTCATATTTATCGGAGGAAAGAGCAAGAGAATGAGTAAGTAATATATAAATTGTAATAATAAAAATGTATGTTGTCTTTTGTAAATTTCTAATTTTTTGATACTATTTTTTTTCAAGTAATAAACACAGAAGTTTCTTTTTCTTTTTATTTGATATTTTCTTTTCTGTTGACTATCCCATATATTTAGTTATGGACTTTCTTTTCTGTTTATTATTTTGAATATTTAGTTATGGATTTTCTTTTTAGGTATGGACTTTCTTTTCTGTCTTCGAATATTTAGTTATGGACTTTCTTTTTATTTATGGAATTTCTGTTCTGTCTACTATCGCGAATATTTAGTTATGGACAATGAATATTTTTTGTTTTAGTGTTTTTTAATATTAATAAGATCAACTGTTATTTCTTATTTTTTTATATAATATAAAATTGTTTGTATAATAAAATATCAATCACCCAATCAGAGAATATGTAAACATACCTTACTCGAAGAAGTGTTATACATGGGTTCTTATTTGATGAGCTAGAAAATGATATGATCAAGATCGCGTAATTATGACAATACGAGTTCACTATTGTATGACATACCATCTCATTCAGGTAATAATTTTTTTGTTTTTTATTTTTTATTAAAGTTATAGTAGGTTTAAAAACCATCTCATATGGAGATGAATATTAAATATATATATATATATATATATATATATATATTAAATTTTTATTTATATAATAATATCAAATCATTATAAATATTTTTTTACATATCATAAAAATATATTTATATAATTATATTATTAATATATTTTTATAAATATAATAAATACAAATATATTTAATATATATATATATAATAAATACATGTATATTTATATATTTAATAAATATATATTTATATCTTTTTATATACATAATAACATAAATTATATATATATATATATATATTAAGTATAAATAATATTTGTTTTATAAAAATATATAAATATTATTATTATATTTTAATATATTTGTATATATTTATAAATCTTAAATCTTAAATTCTAAACTATAAATATATTTATACATTTAACAAATACATATTTATATTTTCTTTTATATATATATATATATATATTTACATACTATTTAAATATTTATTTAATAAAAAAGATGTTTAGTAAATAAATATAATATTTATACAAAAAATAATTTTATTTAATTTCAATACAATATAAAATAGATTTGGTATAAATATTTTGTTAAAATTCTGTATAAATAGAAATTTTAATTAGATAATTTGAGTAAGATATACTATTTGAATGAAAGTGAATTGATATTTTAGATATTATATCAATGAAATATGAATAAGCAACGAAACATGAATAAGCAAGTTAGAAAAGCACAAATAAGTAGAATAATTATTTATTTAATGATTATAATGTCATATTAGAAAATTACGAGTAGATTTATCTATGAGTGGTTGATCCCCTAAGGCCAGGATTATGTGGACAATGATTTCTTGTGTGACCTAGAGTGTGACAATAGGAGCATTTCTTTGGTGACCTTCTTCAGATATTCATTTCAATCCTAATTCGTGTTGACTTTGGACTACCCTAAACTTCTTGTTGCTGGGTTAGGGCAAAATTGTGGACCTTGATGTGATGACCAATAATTTTCGTGCCTAAGCTCCCAGACAAGTTATCATACACTTTTTTAACTATATTCAACCTGTAAACAGGATTGATGTACATCTCATAATCATGGTGAGCATGTTTGCACGCTGCAACCACATGGTAGGAAAGTTTTGGTAGTCATGTGAGTGGTAGGAGAGTTTAGGTAAGCATTTGAATAACATAAGAGTTATGTGATCATGCGAATGGTAAGTAAGTTTAGATAAGCATGTGAGTGACATGAAAGTTAGATAGTCATGTGAGTGGTAGGAAAGTTCAGGTAGACATGTGAGTGATATAAGAATTAGGTGGTCATGCGAATGGTAATTAAATTTAGATAGACATATGAGTGACATAAAAGTTAGATAGTCATGTGAGTGGTAGGAGACTTTAGGTAGACATGTGAGTGGCATAAGAGTTAGGTGGTCACGCGAATGGTAAATAAATTTAAATATACAAATATATGTATTTATTAAATATCTTATTATATACATATAATATATATATATATATATATATATATATATATATATTATATAAATCCATATTTATTAAATTTATTTAAATATTAAATCTATAATATTAAATTTATTTTTATTTTTCTAATATTGTAATATATATATATATATATATATATATGTATTTATCATATTTATAAAAATATATTAAAATATAATAAAAATATTTATATATAATTTTATATTAAAATTATTTTATATTATATTAATAAAAATGTATTTATCATATTTCTATAAAAATATTATTTTTACTTACTAAAGTTATTTTATATTAAAAATATATTTAAATAATATATATAATTTATTTATATAAAAATGTTATCTAGAAAGATATAATATATTTATTAAATTTTATTATATTTATAAAAAGATAAATAAATATTTAAATATTATATATATATATATATATCTATATATATTAAATATATTTGTATTTACTATATTTATAAAAATATATTAATAATATAATTATATAAATATATTTTTATGATATGTGAAAAAATATTTATATTGATTTGATATAATTATATAAATAATTAAAATATATATATATATATATATATAATATTTAAAAAATTATTAAAAATATATATCAAAATTTGGCTTGCAACATACCAAATGCTCGACTTTTTATCAAAAGCGTGCTAATAGTGTAAATTTTATCTACAGTATGCTATATTTGAATATTTATATTCAAATAATGCTACTCCTGAAAAAAAAAAATCATTGTGTATGTTTAACATCTTGGACAAATTAGGTTGGATGGAACATAAGAAATAACAAGAACCTCTTCAACAACCTTTACCCAAATGAAGTAACAATCTACTTCTATACATTTGCTACATTCTTAGTTGAATTAAGAATTGATTGTTACAAAAAATTGGAAAGGGCATAAATATAGTTAAGTGTAGATCATATGTTACATATCTTAATCATTATATTTCACACGCTAAGGAGGCTAATGTCCTTTATTTAGCTTTGGTGGAACTTCTTGAGATTGTATTTTGTTTTTTTTTGTCCTTTATTTAGCTTTGGTGGAACTTCTTGAGATTGTATTTTGTTTTTTTTTTTACTTCCATGAGATTAAACAGTGGCCATATAACACACAAAAATCAGGAACAAACTTTTTTGTGGTATTGCATGTAGCCTAATCGGAGTTAGAATAGGCCTGCATTTGGTTAGGATTGTTTGCAGGATAGAAAAGACCCTGACCAGGAGCATTTTTTAGATATCTGAGTATGCGGAATGCGACATTTAAATGTGGTTAGCAAGGCTGAGACATGTATTGACTAATCTGCCGAACTGCGAAGCATATGTTTGGATGAGTATTGGTTAAGTAGATTAGTTTTCCAATCAAACGTCGAAAGTTCGTGAGATTAGCAAGAAGGTCACCAATATCATCATTCAATTTGATAATAGGTGTGGATGGTGTATTAACTAGTTTGCAAGTTGTGAGGCTAAGTTATAATAAGATTTTAAGGCAATACTTATGTTGATTCAGCACAAGACCTTATTGTGACTGGACAACCTAAAATCCTAAGAAATACATGAGCTCACCAAGATCTTTTATATGAAATTCATCATTGAGAGAATTTTTTACTTAACTATGAATTGGAGATTAATGTCTGTTAATACAATATCGTCAATGTAAACTAAAAGAGTTGTGAATGAATGATTATGATGACATGTGAATAAGGAATGATTAACATTGCTTTGAACAAATCCATTGGCTGTTAGCTTTTCTTAATCCATATAAGGATCTGTGTAACTTGCAAACCTTATTGGAAGACGATAGTTGAAAGCCAGGGGAAGCCTTGATGAAGTTAATCTTGTCACGTAGATCTCATCAAAGAATTTGCAATGAAACTAATACAGTGTACTACGGCTGACCTAGATCATGTCTTCAAGGAGAATTGTTTAATTTTGTTTTAATATTGATTTTCAATGTCAAAAGCTAGGAAATAGGGGGATGTTGTAATTTTGAATGCAAAAAAGTAAATTGAAAGCAATAAACCTAAACTATAAAAGCAATTAAAGAAAGCATTTTAAAGAGAGTAGTAAATGAAAGCATTAAAGAAAGCTTATAAATCAAATCTATGAAAACTGCAAATGCAGAGAAGTAAAAGCATTGAATTAAATCTACTTCTACAAAGCTATAAAGTTTACTTCAAACATTGTAAACTAAAGTTTGAAAGTAAATCAAAATAAAATAAAATGTGAATTAAAAACACTCAAAAATATAGTAAATATTGTGTTGATTCTCTAATTATAAACTTGTTTTTATGATTATCATTTATTTTTATGAAATTGTCTTGCAATTACAAATACAAATCCACAATGGTTCCAACC